AAAAATGTCTTAAGAACTACAAAATTATCGAGAGCCAAGATCGCCAACATCCTGAAGGGATGCGTTACACAAAAGAAGAAAAATGGCCTTTAATTGGTATCAGGTATTAAATTATTGTCACACATTTTTTAAAACGTCTTACAAAAATTTAAAGTTTTTTTTTTAAGTTTAAATTTTAATTTTAATTACAAGAATTACACTGAGTTCTCTTTTTACTACTCATTCCGTAAAAAAAAGAACTTCCCAATCTATGCTTAGTTACCTCCCTTTAAACGGTTTCAGTGGCCATACACTGACGCGTCGTTCCTCACTCCATCTTACTTATTATAAAACGCAGATTGTGTGTGTGTGTGTGTGTCTGTACGTTTATATATTGGATCGGATTTCCTACATTTTTCAACCGATTTCAACAGAACTTCACAGGACTGCGTAAAATTACCTTGTAATGGTTGTGACAGTGCCAAAAATTAGAAAAACACAATTGTTTTTGCACGAAATCAATTTGAAAACATGATAAAACACCAGAATGAAAGGGGGACAATTCATATCAAGTTATACTTATAAAACCCAGGTTGTGTGTGTGTGTGTGTGTGTGTGTGTGTGTTCGTTTATATATGGGATCGAATTTCCTACATTTTTCAAACGATTTCAACAAAATTTCACTTTTTTTTGTCAGGTAGTGTTACTTATTGTCTTGCACACTTTTTTCTTTATTTTTACATTCAGAATGCTTTAAAAATTCCATTTACAAGACAATTGTTTATAATAAAATTCTATTCAATCGATAGACTCATAACGATTGAAAACAATGTTTTTGTTTGAGTTTGACCAATTCGTGAAAAAAAAAAAATAATTAAGACATGCGTGTCCGTCAACCTTAAACAATAATCTTTGTCAATTTTATTTTTCAGTGTTTATGATGGTCGATACTTGATCTATCTCTTACTGTTTCATCCCCGGGCAACGCCGGGCTCTACTGCTAGGTTGTAATAAATTTAACTTTCAGAACGGTTTTAGTGGTTACGTACAGACAATCATATCACGTTTACTTAAAACATACATTAAAGTGTTTTTTTTTTATTAATGTCATTCAAATCTTTAAATATGACGCTATGATGGATAGAATTATTTTTAGAATAAAGGACACATTAGTAATACGGATGACCAAAATTAAAAAAAAAAAAAAAACGTTTTTTTCTGCCCAGAGCAGAAATGGTCAAAAGTGACATGAGTATCCAAATGAAAACTTATTTTTTGCGCCTGACACCAAAGACATACATTTTTTTTTCTATTAAGCACAATAAAGAGTTACATTTGAATGTTCTAGAGATGATATATATTAACTCCCTATAATCAAAAGTATGCACAAAAACGCTAATTTGGAAACCTTTGGACGATATTTGAGCCCAGGGAAGCCAGACCTGCGATCCCTGTCGCTTAAAGAAAACAAATTAACGAAAATATTCAATTTACTTCCTTTGAACCAGTTTTTTAATTAAAACATTTATTCACACGCACGCATATATATATATATACACACATATATTAAGAAATGGACAAGGTCCGAAAATTTATTTATTAAAGACATTTTTATGTTTAACGTTGTTATTTATAGATACAAGAATATAAGCAAATGCTCTGTTTATGATAAACAGTATTAAATAACATTCACCGGCCTGAATGTCCGAGAAATTTTCATAGAAAATATTCGTTCTTTGACAGGATTCGAACCTGCATCCTACACGGAACCGACATTTACGCTAACGTGCCTAACCTCTGGGCCACAAAGAACCTTTCGGTAGACAAGGTCGAATTTACTGCTTATAAACTTCAATCTTCCATGAATCTCGTACATAAAAATGTCTTTAATAAATAAATTGTCGGACCTTGTCCATTTCTTAATATATGACGTCATTTGTTTACATTTGATACGCCAGAGCAGTTATGAATGTACGAGATTCATGGAAGATACATACATACATATATATATATATATATATATATATACATATATATATATATATATATATATATATACATATATATATGTATGTATATATATATATATATATATATATATATATATATATATATATATATATATATATATATATATATATATATATATATATATATATATATACATACATATATATACATATATATATATATACATATATATATATATATACATATATATATATATATATATATATATATATATATATATATATATATATATATATATATATATATATATATATATATATATATATGTATATATATATATATATATATATATATATATATATATATATATATATCGCAGTTTTCTTGCTGCTGTTACAGTGTAAACATGGCCGTTCCGCTCAACCCCACCTTTGACGAGAAAATTCAGCTAGCTCCAGAGATGTTAATGGCGAACCGGTGAATTGAGGTAGAATATTCTCTGCACATTGTTCCTCCTTGGTGTACACTGCTAGTGGAGCGGCCATTGTATGAGCAGTAAGAAAACTGGCGCTATCAAGATCAAAGTTCGATCACGTGACCACAATAAGACCAACTATAAGCACGCATCTACTAAAGACAGTGTGATAAACCGAAAGACATATTATGTCGAAAGCGCGGATAATTTCTGACTTACCATCGTATAATTTGATCATGAAAGCCTTTTGAACATGAGAAATAAGAATAATGGGATATAGATATTTTAAAACTGCCTTGAACAGGTAAAATGATCACTATTTAGTTGACTATATATATATATATATATATATATATATATATAAATTAAGGAGGATATGAGATAATTAAGTAAGTGTCTAGAAGAAACCTCAACAGAAAGCACTGGACGGCCGTTTCGTCCTATATTTGGGACTCATCAGCAGTGCGCATCCACTACCGAGAACGGACCTCGGTGAGGAAACAGCACCGAATTAGACTGCTTAATTATAATTATCTCAAATCCTCCTAATAATTTATATATATATATATATATATATATATATATATATATATATATATATAACTTACATAGAGTAAAAGAAATATGGTTTACAAATAAGATCACACACACACACACACACACATACACACACACACACACACACATATATATATATATATATATATATATATATATGAATTTATGAAGAGTTATTGGGTTGTAGTCTCTGTCTGTCTGTTTGTTATACAACCCCTCCTAGGACTTGGGGGACCCCCATAAACATATATGTTCTGAAACTACATTACCCGGGGTACTTGGATAAGTATATTTCATTTTGATCAAAGGGAGTAACCGGAGAGCACAAACCCCACCACTGATTTTTTTCCCCCTTTGATTTAAATTTATTTGACAAAGAGGTAGCGAACTAGACTCGATATTGCGCCGCTCGTTCACATATTCCGTGGTGGAACTCAATCAAGTTTCTTTACCCATAGGACTGTGCCTCCGAGAGCCACGACTACCATCACCAAGCCGCTCCATCCAGAGCATTAGAAGCTGGTTCAAGCAAGGATATACAAAGGAGAGGAATTAAAGAGACCTGTTAGTACAGATGGTGTGACGTCTGCCTGTCAATGTAACTGTTCGGGTTTCAATTCTCGGTAGTGGATGCGCACTGCTGATGAGGCCCGGATATGGGACGAAACGGCCGTCCAGTGCTTTCTGCATTCTGTTGAGGTTTATTCTAGACTCGATGAATTACTTATATATATATTTTTAACGCACCGCTCATTAATGAATGGAGCAATGTTGGCTACTGGCGTTTGTTTACATCCAGCCGTGAGCTGATAGCTTAGGGGTAGGATCTCCGACTGATGCTAAATCGGTAGGGTTTCGGTCCCGGCTTGAAGCAATCGAATGTCTAGACACAGAGACGAGCTGTGATACAGCGAAACAGGCCTGTATTTGGATAACTATATATATATATATATATATTGAAGTTAACACTTAGAGGCGACAGGTTGTTTCATACTAAACACAATCGTCACGTCCAGCATGAAACAGACTGTCGCCTCTAACTGTTGACTTCAATATTCACTTTTATATTTACACACGCTCTATCTCTGATATTGAGCACTTAATCCCATAAATATAGCACACCTTAAGACTATATTTCTTCATATATATATATACCTATATATATGTATATATATATATTACGCCCCGAGCAAGGCATGAAGCCACTAGGATGCAGGGGGTTGCAGAAGATTTGGAGCAAGAGCAGATAGGAGTGATAGATATATATATATACTGGCTGTAACAGTAAAATTGTCCAAATCGTATAACACCATGAGATAAATGGCTACCTCACAAAATGTTTTAAAATGTTTATCCTATTGTATGTATTTCTGGATGTTTCTTATTAATGGTTATATTCTGCCGTCTGTAAGTAAAATAAAAGAACAAGCTGGGTTTTTTAGCATTGGAGCTCAGATTTCAACCTACGTGTCAATAAATTATAAAACAGCGTGACAAAATTTCTTTTTAGAAGTATGTATGCACACACAAACACAGAATAGGAGTAAAAGAGAGAGAGAGAGAGAGATGGAAAGAGAGAGAGAGATAGAGAGAGACAGAGGTGCATTAACCAGTATACGAAAGGGACGTTAATCTAAAAACAACCTAACGAGTGCAAACAACGGATAAAGCAGAGTGGGTGAAAGAGAAACGGATCAGTAAAAACCGAGAATGAAAGCTAGCTTCTGCGCATGCGCCAACTAAAATTTTAAACGCCACTACTTCCTGTACTTGCATTGTCTTAAAGAAAAAAAAAAGCCATTTGGGCAGACTAGATTTCAAAAAGCGTCTCTCCAAATGTGAAGATAGAATAAGAAGTGATAGAAACGTGCTGAAGGCGTCCACTTCTTGAAATCTGTAACCCATGCTTCATTTGTTACGAAGTATACGAACACTTCGGTTACTGGTCTCAATCTGTACGCAACAGAAATTAGCAAGCAATGAGGCATGTAACCTATGGAAGCGACGGTGTTGGGAAATGCTTAGCTTCTGTAGACGGTTTTTCATACACTCCTCTGTTCCTCGTGCATATCAGCCGATGAGTAGGAATGTATCATTTTCATACGTCACAGAACACAATTTTAACGATGGGGGCAAAAAAAAAAAAAGGAAAAAAAGAAGAGTTTTGTGTCCGTGCTTGCAACAGAAAGATAGGGAAAAGAAGGCAAAAACTTTGCTGACTGTGGGATCATTTTCGAGAAGGAAATATAGTCTTCGTGGACGCGGCAAAAAAAAAATATTTGGAGAATAAGAAAAAATCAGAGGAATATGAAGAGAAAATAGACGCGAAAAGAGGAATATTAGAGTCTTTTGTAAGCAACAGAAAAGTTGCAATGTTTACGAAAGGTGCAGAAGAAACGAATATGCTTGAGGGAAAGAAAAAGAAAAACATGTGAAGACAAAATATTCTACTAATGCTAGAAAAAATTCAATAGCAGCAATTAAAAGGAGCAACGAATAGAATGTAAAACGCCAAAGAAACATAATCACACACACACACTTATATATATATTAAATCATTAACCTTTGTATTTGTTTTTTGTATGAATAATTCATGAATTTGTAAATTAATTGCACCTTTATTGAAATTAAAATAACTGATCCAAATGCAACTTTTGGATAATAAGTGCGACATTACTGTAATTATTGAACAATAAAGTTCATGCCATTTTGACAGAAAATTTACCAGTAAAAAAGAATTCACTTATCACCATATTTGTATAAGAACGCACAATTGTAAAATTTAAATTCAAACTCAGCGTTGCGACAGAACGCTCCAAAAACAATAACTCATTTCTAATAGCATTTCTCGGATTACAACAATACATATATTCTCGTTGTCCTCTTATTACTGAGAGAAAAAACAAGAACAAAATCTATTCCATACCTGAGGATGTCTGTAAGAACAGACGAAAGCTTGTAAAAATAATAAGAACTCATGCAACAGAAATTTATAGAAACAAGGATCTTTTCATTCATAAACAGGTTCGGGGTTTTTGTATATTATTTGAATTGTTCGCCAATTAAATCATTAACCTTTGTATTTGTTTTTGTATGAATAATTCATGAATTTGTAAATTAATTGCACCTTTATTGAAATATATATATATATATATATATATATATATATATATATATATATATATATATATATTGTTGTAACCGAGTAAAGATTACGAAATAGAATATTCAAACGAAGGTTGGTAATGAACGATAATACTTAGGACACGAACAACGCACATAAGATTCGCCAGCGGCGCGTAGAAGTAGTAGTCAACTGTTAGAAGTGAGTCATGTGAATTCCACAATGAATGTCCAACTGTAGGATATCTTCCAACTGCCCCACGCGATCAGATGTGTCACAAGGCCAAATTTAAGGTGAGGTATCCAAGCTCGTATGCTCGGCTAAAAATTACCCATAGACCCTGCATAAAACGGGGTCAGGTAGCCTGTTTCTGCCCTTCGACATAGCCTCGTCTGGGACTCCTCTCGGCTCGGAGGCAGAGAATTTGACCAGCACAGCTGGAGATGAATCTCCAACTGCAGACCAACATCCAACATACAGTACTGCATTTATGTCAATGGGGACATACCCATTATCGTCCACAGGTATGCTACAAAACACACACACACACACACACACATATATATATATATAAAGAGAGAGAGATAGAGGGGGGAGGGAAATAATTAATACAAGTAAAAGGTTTGTAACTTGATTGATATTACCAACATCATCCCATCTCCAGATTTTCGGAGACGGATCCTCCGGGAATCACTTCGTTCCCTCGTTAGTGGGTATCAGCAGCTGACTGAATATACTTCTCGATTCTTTTTTTTTCATATATATATATATATATATATATATATATATATATATATATATATATATATATATATATAGCTGGTAAATTGAAAGGAAGACTAGGCCCTATAGCTTTGGTTGACAACCAATTGAGGCGAAGGATGACTTTGAATATATAATCACCAAACCGTGATAACATGGCCATCCCTTCTGCTTACAGAGGGAGGGCTGGAAGGACGTATTATATATAGGCTCTAACCAGACAGTGACTTCAAGTATATAAATTATATATTTGACTAGATCTAGGGTAGTAAAACATTACTAAACTTAATTGGGAGGACGCCTGATCCCGTAAAATGGTTATTTAAAAAAAGAGGATATTGTTTGGCTGTGAGAGAAGAAAACATAAAATCGTCGTGTGCGTGGAAAAAATTTTTTTTTTGGTGATGAGAAATGAAACGATCGTATAAAGACCCTCTTTGCAGAGAAAATCGTGGAGAGAAGAGGAAATATTTGCGTACGCAAAAATGGAATCTTGGCGATTAGGCGTGAAAGTCTTTAGTAGGGAATAATAAAGTTGGACTGTTTACGAAAGATTCGGAGAGTGCGGGAATGTGTTAAAAAGGAAAAATCCGGAAGAAAAAAATGGTAGAAAATTTAATAATTACACAGAGAACGGAAAGATTAAAATCCAAGAATGAGAAAAACTAAAAAGAAATATATAATTACTATAAAGAGCTAAAAAAAAAGGTCAAAAAGCAGAAACAACTAAAAACAAACTTAACAAGTTAGTATTCCTCTGACGTGACATATCGATTCTACACGTGAAAGTACTTGACGTAATTTTCAGTTGACAACATGAATTCAGTAGCGTTTTCTAAATTCTTCTAGTTGCTAAGGACATTTTGTTTGTTGTTAATAGTCACTTTGTTTTCAAAAAAATCCATATTGGACGAAACACGTCGGCTAATAATACAGTTTTCCTATTGTCTTTTACCTTTACACATATTGCCTTTTTCTACAGGTTAACTTTGAGAAATCTTTCATATATATATATATATATATATGTATATATGTATATATATATATATATATATGTGTGTGTGGGGGGGGGGAGTGTTTGTGTAAATTATTTTCAGATAGAGTGTATCCGTGAAGGAACTAAATGAATAAAAAAACAAGAGGAAAAACTATTTTCCGATGTGTTTCGACCTCTGAGGGACTTTATCATGGGAAATGTAGAGCTTATTTTCAACCACCTGATGATTATTCAAGAACGTCCTCATATATAAAAGCCTTCATAAACCAATGACATCCTTGGTCTTGTATATAAACACGTGCAACAAAATAAATCCTACATTTGCCTTGATAATGTCCCTCAGAGGACGAAACGTGTATATATATATATATATATATATATATATATATATATATATATATATAAATATATGTTAAGGGACCTTACCCATACTAACATAATGGACTATTCCATGCGTAATAAATACTGCGCCTCAAGAGAAAGCAGAGAGTTCAGTCTGAAGTCGGACGACCGGCTGACCGGCTGATCGGTTGAACTCTCTGCCTTCGGGCGGGAGGAACCTGAACGAGGCTACGCCGAAGACGGAGTCTCTTTCGGGAAGTAAACCGACCCTGAACCCGTTTATACGGGTTCAAAGGGCATATTTTTGGCCGAGCCCACGGGCTCGGAGATCCCACGTTAAACCGGCCTTGTGCCACATGATACCCTCGTGGGGGGGGGGAATAAATACTGTTCAGTCTGAAGTCTTAAGTGAGGTCCGTCAGAAGTCCGTCAGGAGTCTGTCAGTCAGAGCGAGCGAGTCAGTCAGTCGAGTCAGAGGCAGTCCGAAACAGAGTCGCGTTCAGACAATTACTACTAAACCTGATTGTTCGTACTAACACTTTCTACTTCTCTGTATATATTCCTGTTTGTAATATATCTGTGTTATTCCATATCCGTATTCGAGTTCTTCTTTATTGGTTCTACCTTGGACTATCACCATGGTACAAGGAATTGGACCACAACAATATATATATATATATATATATATATAGTCTATGATTATATCGAGACTTTTACAAATATATAAGTTATATATCTGATTAAACCGTAAGGATCAATAAATTTCGTAAGGATCAATATATTTTGTTGGCATTATGTATGTAAGCATATTTTGATCCATTAAAATAGTGATTAAAAATGATCATAAAATGTTTTCAACTATAATTCGTCCTTTTTTTTTTTAACAAAGTGAACGCTGAAATATGCCTCAACCGCTTTCATTTATTTACACTGTATGGAAGCAGAAATTTCTGGAAATAAAACACTGAAACCCGACACATCAATTTTCAATTATTTACTCCGTCTGGAAGCAGAAAATTCTGGAAGACTCTACAAACAGAATGCTGAGACCTGAGTCAACAATTTTCATTCATTTACTTCGTTCGGAAACAGAAAATTCTGGAAATACAATGCCGGAAATCTGACACAACATCGTTTGTTGTTTACTCCGTCTAGAAAAAGAAAATATATGGAAACAGAATGCGGAAACCTGTTTCAACAATTTTCATTTATTTATTATGTCTGGAATCAGAAAATTCTGGAAACCAAATCCTGCGATCTAACTCAAAAATCTTCATTTATTTACTCCATACAGAAACAAAAAAAGAGCTGGAACAATTTCCATTTATTTACTCCGTCTAGAAGCAGAATGCTGAAATATGACTCAACAAAGTTCATTTGTTTACTCCACTGGAAACAGAGTGTTCTGGAAACAGAATGTTCTGGAAACAGAATGTTCTGGAAACAGAGTGTTCTGGAAACAGAATGTTCTGGAAGCAGAATGTTCTGGAAGCAGAGTGTTCTGGAAACAGAATGTTCTGGAAACAGAATGTTCTGGAAACAGAATGTTCTGGAAACAGAGTGTTCTGGAAACAGAATGTTCTGGAAACAGAATGTTCTGGAAACAGAGTGTTCTGGAAACAGAATGTTCTGGAAACAGAATGTTCTGGAAGCAGAGTGTTCTGGAAACAGAATGTTCTGGAAACAGAGTGTTCTGGAAACAGAATGTTCTGGAAACAGAATGTTCTGGAAACAGAATGTTCTGGAAACAGAATGTTCTGGAAACAGAGTGTTCTGGAAACAGAATGTTCTGGAAACAGAATGTTGAAATTTGTCTAAACAGTTTATCATTTATTTACTCTGTCTGGAAGCAGAATGCTGAAATCAGACTCATCAATTTCCGTCTAGAATCAGAACCCTGAAGTCTGTTTCAACAATTTTCCTTTATTTACTACGTCTGGAAACAGAATTTTGAAAACTGACTCAACAATGTGCCTATATTTACTCCGTTTGGAAACAAAAAAGAAGAAATAAAACCTCGTCAGCGATCAGCGTGTACAATTTTTTAAAATTCAATCATAATATAACGTCAGAAGTAACTATTGCTGTACCCGAGATGAAAATAAATAATGACATATTAGAGTCTCTATTTCATTAGAAAATATAGCCCAAATTTGGAATGGCAAGTCGAATATTGCTCTACTCCTGTTTTCACAGCAATGCTAAAAATAAGATCCTGGGACAAGGTGAGCGGAACAGACACAAGCTATCCCTTATATAAAATAATGGGTTTTGTTTGAAATCCCTTGAAGCTTACCTTTATCAGGTCGATAGATAAAAAATATAGGCTATTATCCCTATCGTAAATAATAATAACTCCTCATTTTAGAAACCAGACAGAAAAATTGCCGAACATTTTGCTCAATGAAGCTAATGTCGATAATTTAAAATGATTGTCATTTATTTTTATTTAATAAACCTTAAGTACCTGTTCTCGCTAACATGATGCAACACTAGTGGACGAATTGCTAGGTACTAGTCATTTCTACGCTAGATAACAAAATCGAAAAAAGACAGTTTTATATTTTGGGTTGAGAATTCTATTCCAACAGCTTTACCGAAAAAAAAACCCACCGATCAACCAGGTGCGTGTCAGAAATTCTCTTCCCGTTTTAAGCAAAAAATATTCCGTGAGTTTCGAAGACCAATTAGCAAATGATCTTTGACGGATTGGTAAGTTGCGCCAAGGGATACTTTGTGTCAGGAACGAATGTGGTCGAATCAAGGGATTGATCGTAATACATTCACGAAGAGTCTTTCATTAGTCAACTTCCGGTGGGGCATTTTATAAGTCTCTGTTAAAGATTGCCCCGAAGGCACAGCACACGTGACTAAACGATGCAATGACAAACTGGCTTTTCGAAATCGTTCACTCACTTATTCGGCCATAGAAATCGATACATCTTCACAGGCGTTAGATCAGATCAGAAATGCAGCATTGCTGTTAGGTCGGTTGTTGGAATTGCCCAATACACGTCCTTGTGGGCGATGCGTTGTTCTTCCAACCTACAACCACTTTCCCGGGTACGAAATGCTGCTAGTCTCTCGCTAGTCCGTCACTATTTTCATGGCAAATATCTAGGCGAGCTACATTCCTAACTTTTTTATGTCCAGACCTTCAAAGATAGGACATACCAGGATCAACTTATCATCATTCCTTTCGTATTTTCCTTCTTATTCCCATAGTATTTCCTTCATATTCTTCTTTGTATTCACATCCGTATTCCTCTTCGTATTCCCTTCGTATTTCCTTCGTATTCCCATTCGTATTGCTCTTCGTATCCCTATCGTATTTCTATCATATTCTCATTCGTATTCCACTTTGTATTCCCATCGTATTCTCATTCGCATTCCACTTTGTATTCCCATCGTATTCTCATTCGTATTCCTCTTTGTATTCCCATCATATTTCTTTCCTCTTCCCATTCGTATTCCTCTTGCCATTCCCAATCGTAATCTTCTTCGTATTCCCATCGTATTCCCATTTGTATTCCTCTTCACATTCCTCTTCGTATTTCCTTCGCATCCGCATTCGTATTCCTCTTCGTATTCCCATCGTATTTCCTACCTATTCCTATTCGTATTACTCTTCGTATTGCAATTCGTTTACCTCTCCGTATTCCCATCGAATTTCCATCATATTCTCATTTGTATTCCCATTCGTATTTCCATTCGTAACCCTCTCCGTATTCCCTTCGTATTTCCTTTATATTCCCATTCATATTCCCATTCGGATTCCTCTTCGTATTCCCATTAGTATTTCCATTCGTATTCCTCTTCGTATTCCCATCGTATTTCCTTTATATTCCCATTCATATTCCTCTTCGTATTCTCATCGTATTCCTCTTCGTATTCCCATTCGTATTCCTCTTCGTATTCCCATCATATTCCCCATTCGTTTTTCTCTTCCCTTTCACTTCATATTCCATTCGTATTCCCGTTCCTATTCTCTTTGTATTCCCTCTGTATTCTCAATCAAGACGATCTTAGTCTTTTCAAGTATAGAATAAATTCCTATCTGTCTTACATATCCTAATAATCTGCACTCGCTACCTCCTCTTACGTCCACACAAATCATTCAGTAACACCACTCTGCCTTGAGTGACTCTTTGGGGTTTTGTACTGCGTAGACATACACCGAAAACACATGCTATGAAATCACCATACACCATACAAACATTCTCAAGTACACACACACACACACACACACACACACACACACACACACACACACACACACACACACACATATATATATATATATATATATATATATATATATATCCAAATGAGAGAAAGAACAGATGGAGTGAAAATCCACAGTTCGTAGCATTTACTTTTTAAAAAGTGCTGAATACAAAATAGAGCAAAATATTATTATAATATTTTATTATAATAAATTACAATTAAAAACTGGTTAATCTAGACATACCCACAAGTATATCTTTAATTCTGACCTTATACCCTCCTCCACTTTAACTTCCTAAAAGAGGTAACGATTTGGCTTCCGATTTCCCTAATAAATCATTTTTCATCACAAGTTACCTCCCATCGCCTGAAGAAGTACCGCCATAGTATTGAAACATAAAAACTTTTGTGTAGGGATGTAAAATATTTTTATTGTAATTTATTATAATAAAAATATTACAGTAATATATATATATATATATATATATATATATATATATATATATATATATATGTATGTATGTATGTATGTATGTATGTATAAATAAAAAGAAAGAAATTCTTTAAGTATACAAATAGAAAAAATGCCGTTAGAATTTTTGCTGTTAACAATAATTAAAAAAAAATCCAGACGACATGCATTTAACGGATGTCAGAATTCGTTGAAAAATACAT